ACTTTGCAGATCTTTTTTATGCTCAGACAGCAACATTACAGATTAACTAAAGTTGAAAAGTGAAAACGCATAATAGCACCCCTTTAACTTTAAGACACAGTATAAAGTATTTACGTATTGGCTGTGTTAATGCAACAGGCCCCAGGTCAAATAAACAGTTTCAAATGCAGTTCAAAATAAATGATAAAAAAATACTATACATAAAATAAATACTTTTAAGACATTGTGAAAATGTTTTGTACAGTATTTGTTGTGGTCAGTGTATCTGAGCTCCTCCTGTAGTAGCTCTACTCGTCCATTGGGGGCGCGCTGTCAATCAAACTCTAAATCTGTCGAGATGGTCATGGCGGAGGGCACAGCTGTTCTGAGGAGGAATAGACCAGGCACCAAGGCGAAGGTGAAATGAACAGCCAATAACATTTGAAAGCGTTTTACAAGCTCAAATCTGTTCGTAGAGTATATTCTAATATCATATTTACATAAAAACGATTTGTTCTCCTGCGAGCGGAAGCTGCAGATATGCTAAGGAGCTAAGCTAGCAGTTAGCCGAGAAAACTAATGATTCTCAACTGGAGGGTTTTAGCTGAATATCTTGTTCAGTTTAATTCATGATAGGATTTATGTTCTTTTTTGGAAGTACTTGTATGTGTAGTGAAGTATGAGGCAGGAAGCGTCCGGAATGCCAGGCTTTCACGATCTAGCTTTTTGGCAAACAGCAGTCAGCTAACGTTAGCAGTACCCGGATGAGCATCACAGCTGATGCTCAAATACATTAAATTATTATTTAAAACATAGTTAACATGATATACGATTATATGTCAGAGTCATACAGCTTTAAGGTATTATACACTGCTGCGTTCAGTCACTAATATATAAAGAAATTGACAGAACCATTGGAACATTTTACCATGTTTTTTTTGTACCTATAGGTAACGTTAGGTACAAGCTATGGTAACAACGTAGAAACACTTGTAAATTGTCTAAAAGCTTTGAAGTATATATATATATGTGTGTGTGTGTGTGTGTGTGTGTGTGTGTGTGTGTGTGTGTGTGTATCGCACACACATACTGTCAATAATTGTTTAACAGTGGTTGAACTGTCTTAAATATTCTAGTGTTGTTTCTATGAATGTGTTTTAAAAACTGGTTGTTTAATTCATTATTAGGACTTCTACAACTGGTCTGATGAGTCTTTTGAAGAGATGGACAGCACACTGGCAGTGCAACAGGTGACTGTTTTCTTACGTCATTGAATCACTAAAGATTTCTGAGAGTTGCTCTCTTCCAGACCGTGGCCAAAGGCTGTCAAGCTCCAAAAAGTGACCAAAAAAAGCACTAAAAATGGTCAATGTGGTTTTTGCACCATATTCTAATGCCCTTTAAGTAGTACAGTATCTTTGTATGAGGAACAGATTGAAGTTATTTGCTGAAGATCATTACATTTTGAAGTCATTTTGTTCATTTCTGTTCGGTGTTTTTAATATTGTGAATAAATGGTTGTTTTTTGCATTTCAGTATATCCAGCAGAACATCCGTTCAGACTGTTCCAACATAGAGAAGATTATGGAGCCTCCAGAGGGACAGGATGAGGGGGTGTGGAAATATGAACATCTCAGGTATATTATTAGTCTGAACCTCCTTCACATGAACGTCTTTCACATCATGTAGTGTTGTAATGACACATAGCTTATAGTTTTTGATGACAAAATAATGATTTGTGTTAGTTGTATTGCAAATTGCTTTTGCTGCTATTGAGCTGAGATACAGTTTTGTAGCACAGTCAGGTTTATGGGTGTGTTGAGAGGTAGGGTCAACAGTCTAATTATCCATGCAATTACAGAATTTAATATTTTTAAAATATACATACAACTTAAAAGCATGTATGAACACAATGGGTAATATTTATTTAAATGTTAGTACACAGTAGTTAAAGACAATATAAAGTCGGTCTATAAAATGTTTATCAGATGGCAGATGCTCTTTGTTGCTGTGTCTTGGGAGTTGTTATTGTATTGTGTAAATTGTAAATATTATGTTCTGTATATACATATAGACAGTTCTGTTTGGAGCTCAATGGCTTAGCAGTTAAACTGCAGGTAATTATCTTTCTTACACTTTATCGCACTGTTATATCACAAATAACTCGCATAGTCTGCACTCTGCACTGCACTATTAATTTAAAAGTAAAGTACGTTTCCTTGTCACATACCAGGTTGTCTTTACATTTGTCTTCAGATATTTATGAAGACAGTAGAATGATGTGTGATGTCTTTGCTCAATAGAATGAGTGTCATCCTGACACGTGTACCCAGATGACTGCCACTGAGCAGTGGATCTTTCTGTGTGCTGCCCATAAGACTCCCAAAGAGGTGAGTGTCTCTGTGACCTTTTGATCCAAGTTCAAAGTTTGCATTTGAAAATAGCTTTATAGTAAAAAAAAATAGAAGTGCCCATGTATGAAATTTAGGGCTGCATAATCTCTAGATGATGTTTTTGATTAATCAGATTTTTAAAAATCCAGATGTTATTTTTATCTTTTTCATGCACTGAATGTGTTTAAATTAATCATCAAATTAGTTGATTATTTTCCAGCGATTGTTATCGATCAGTTGTTGCAGCCCTAATGAAGTTCTTAACAGACTGAAGCTAAAATATGGATGATTGTGTCTTATGTTGATTTGTTTGTTTACGGTGGCTCACAGTGCCCTGCCATTGACTACACGAGGCACACTCTCGACGGAGCTGCGTGTCTTCTCAACAGCAACAAGTATTTTCCCAGCCGGTGAGTTATTGAACATCTATTAAAGCAGGGGTGTTCAGTGCTTCTTCTGGAGATCCGTTTTCCTGCGGAATTTAGTTCCAGCACTGCTTGAACACAACCAAATTGGAGTTTTTAATGGACCCCCAAACCATTTTTTCCCCCTCTTGTTTAGGGGTGGGGGATATAACTAGTAAATAGGCTTTTTTTTTAAATTTTGTAATTAAAACCTTTTGCAGCTCATACCTTTCAACCCTTACAGAGCTCCATTTCACCGCATGATGACTCAATTATTCCAACTTCTAACTACTATAAATAAATACAGCTTTTTCTTCATATAAATGCAGTACATCATGAATTTGTAAGATGTTTTGTAAAACGTGCTTCACAAAATTGAAGTTGGATCTCAAGTACATAGGAAGGAAGACCTTCATGAGCAGATTCAATTATTAATAAAAGACTTGAACCTAGTCTACGTTTATGCATTCGCTTTATGTGCCATGTTCGACTGCTAAGTGACAACACAAACATCCACTTTAATACGAGGTAAATACCCATTTAATAAAACATTACAAAAACTGTCTGAAACGCATACAAATACTACAGTTGGTAAATAATACTGATCAGTTCTGGTATATTAGAATATAATGTTAAACAGCTTGAGCTCAGCTTCTGGGATTGAAGAAACATCTCATTCAGTTCACCGTGGCTTTAACATTTACAGCAGCTTGATAGTCTGTTTTGCAAACTAAAATGTGCTTATTCTATTCTGCCATTTCTCAAAGAGGGATAAACATTGTCAAGGCAACGTAAGACATGAAAAACAACCCTTAACGTGGTTAAAATTCTACAAAAATTCTAATGTGGCACAAGCAGCACCACTGCAGCTCAGTTTGAAAAATCCAGCCCGATAAATCGAATTTGACCACCAAGCTGAGGAGAACGAGTCAGTTTATAGCAAACAAAAGAAAGTACCCTGCTCATAGTCCCATAGCAGTTATTAAACGGAAATGCTGCCACTTAACATGCAAATCGAAGTGTATTACCTTTTAGATAGTGTGAAGAAATTCCCAGGAGTTTAACATACAAATTCAGCTTTAGCACCACTTGAACACATGGCACAGATCTGATAAACCAGACTACAGCATCAAGTTCTGCGTTTAGTACAGGCTAGTTCTTGGATTCCATTCTGAAGTGCTGTAGGCTTACAGTGCATATGCATTTCCCTTAAACACTGGCATCCCAAACTAAATGGAGCATTTCTGATGTTTTGACTCCCAAGTCCTGGAACATTTCTGCAAGAAAATGCAAACCTGCACACCAAGTAAACGCCTGCAGAGGGACTGTTTGGACACTCAGTTCCTGAGTTCGTCACGTTGAACTGTTGCAGGTGTTAGAACAAACAACTGAATTGTCAGCTGGTTCGGAGTATAACAGGAACAGGAAAAAGAACAGCAAAAAAAATGAACAGTGAGGAAAGGACACTCGCAGTGATGAGGAAAATATCATGTTGGTGCTTGATCATGAGACAAATGTGATGTGAACATGTGGTATTGTGCAAGTGCTGCGAAATACTGTTGATGCAAGTAACAGTGAATTTCAGTGCTATTTTTGATACTTTGTATCAAAGTATCATTGCACAAACTTTGCTTTCAAGAGTAAATAAAACCGACCTCTATGATACGTTATGGCTAGTTAAAAAATAATTTACAAAATGTTAAAAGTGCTACGAGTCGGTTTCTAATACAGGAACACAAATCTCTTGTGGTCTGGTGATGTGGTCAATTTTAGGCCAGTTGCCGCTCTCAATCATCAAAGATTTCTGACAGAACTTGAAAAAGAAATTGCATCTTTGAGTAGGTCCATCACATACAGGTGACTTCTGCAGCCCCATCGTCTGGCTCAAATCCTCCCTCATCTAAATGGGACAGTGCACTGGGATACCCCCCTCCAAATACGGGGAAACCGCCGATTCCCCCTGAACATGGAGACGACAGCTGTGTGTGCGGTTCATCCACACCTCGACTCACAGACTGACTACACACCTCTCGTCGTGTAGATCCCTTCAGGAACAAAAACAAAAGGGTTGAGATACAAAATAATGTGTCATAAGATCTCTCAATTTTTGGGAAACTTTAGAAAACAAAAGATGTATGTCCTTAATGGATTTGTATTTTTATTCTTTTTTTTTACATTGTTAACTGAAATCATAAAAAAAAAAAAAACTATTACATTAATAAAGCTAAAATAAAATATAAAAAATTTGAATCAATTTAAACAAATTAGAAATGCGATTTTAGTATTGTTTATAAACTAATATAGTTTTGTTGATGTTTGAATTACATTATATTTTCACTTTAGTTTGTTTTAGTAAATGTATAGATTTGTCATTTTTATTAGATTTTTTTTAAAATGCCTAAGTTTTTATTAATCAGTTTTAGTTATTTTAGTAATTCAAGGTCAACTAAATAAGACGAGTTGCCTTGACAACTAGCTGAAATAAAAGAGCTAAAACTAAAACGGAAATAAAACAATCAACCCTAAAAAGCAATTGAAAACTAACAGCACAAAATTACTAAAGTAATAAAATACAAATAAAAGCCAATTCAATATACTAATAAATACAGTGTGTGTATGTATACATACATACATACATACATACATACATACATACATACATACATACATACATACATACATACATACATACATACATACATACATACATACATACATACATACATACATACATACATACATACATACATACATACATACATACATACATACATACATACATACATACATACATACATACATACATACATACTAAGGCACAGATCTGGCTAAGATTACAAAAAGAAAATAAGAGCATAATCTTCTGTAACGTCTTCCATAATCCTTAAATGGAAGACGTTTGGGACGACCAGAACCCTTCCTAGAGCTGGCCGTCTGGCCAAACTGAGCTATCGGGGGAGAAGAGCCTTGGTGAGAGAGGTAAAGAAGAACCCAAAGATCACTGTGGCTGAGCTCCAGAGATGCAGTCAGGAGATGGGAGAAAGTTGTAGAAAGTCAACCATCACTGCAGCCCTCCTCCAGTCGGGGCTTTATGGCAGAGTGGCCCGACGGAAGCCTCTCCTCAGTGCAAGACACATGAAAGCCCACATGGAGTTTGCTAAAAAAAACACCTGAAGGACTCCAAGATGGTGAGAAATAAGATTCTCTGGTCTGATGAGACCAAGATAGAACTTTTTGGCCTTAATTCTAAGCGGTATATGTGGAGAAAACCAGGCACTGCTCATCACCTGTCCAATACAGTCCCAACAGTGAAGCATGGTGGTGGCAGCATCATGCTGTGGGGGTGTTTTTCAGCTGCAGGGACAGGACGACTGGTTGCAATCGAGGGAAAGATGAATGCGGCCAAGTACAGGGATATCCTGGACAAAAACCTTCTCCAGAGTGCTCAGGACCTCAGACTGGGCCGAAGGTTTACCTTCCAACAAGACAATGACCCTAAGCACACAGCTAAAATAACGAAGGAGTGGCTTCACAACAACTCTGTGACTGTTCTTGAATGGCCCAGCCAGAGCCCTGACTTAAACCCAATTGAGCATCTCTGGAGAGACCTAAAAATGGCTGTCCACCAACATTTACCATCCAACCTGACAGAACTGGAGAGGATCTGCAAGGAGGAATGGTGTGAAATCCAGATCAAATCCAGGTGTGAAAAACTTGTTGCATCTTTCCCAAAAAGACTCATGGCTGTATTAGATCAAAAGGGTGCTTCTACTAAATACTGAGCAAAGGGTCTGAATACTTAGGACCATGTGATATTTCAGTTTTTCTTTTTTAATAAATCTGCAAAAATGTCAACAATTGTGTTTTTCTGTCAATATGGGGTGCTGTGTGTACATTGAGGAAAAAAATTTTACTTAAATGATTTTAGCAAATGGCTGCAATATAACAGTGAAAAATTTAAGGGGGTCTGAATACTTTCCGTACCCACTGTATATATCTATATAAAATAACAATGGTTTGGGAGCGGTTGTTCAATGTTATTTTAAGTTAATTTTGGTTGAACCATCACTTTAAAAGTTAGTCTTCCTCACAAAAATGGACTGTAAATAGACAATTCTGTTCTTTAAATATGTCTTCGACTAAATAACTAGAAAAGCCACAGATTTGCAAATGTAATTGTTTAAAATGACATTAGCAACAGGTACCTGACTGTGCTGTGGTACCGTCTGGCCCTTGACGGGTCTTTGTAGGAAAACAACTTGCTTGGTGGCGAGATTCCCTTCACTGCAGAAAAAGAAAAGCAGTCAGTTTGGGATACGGTGATGGGGTGTAAAGAAACATGATTATATGGCTTGCACTGTGAGGGCCCCACCTGTCATGGCGAATAATTGGGGTGGGCAGCACACAGGTGAGCAGCCAGCCGAATTCTGCTAACGTGCGGAGCAGAGGACCATAGTCCGTCTTTACATTTGAACCCTGTGACCCAAACAGGAAATCATAAAATACAACACAAAAATGGCACACACTTAACTTCCTTCATGTGTTAGTGACACATTTTAGACATTTCATACATGCAGTCACACCTCTATAACTGTCCACTGCTCCACTACAATCGTGTCATTGGCAGGTGGCGCTGTGCTCTTCTCCTCATAGACGAACAGCCCCTCTAGAGACCTGGGCACTGGCTCACCTGTAAAAACAACCATTAAAAATCTACTTTATACTGGAGAAGCAAGTCAATGACAAGTCACAGCTAGATTTGTACATGTGCGTCTGAATGTTAATTTAATCATTCAAATGCATCCTTTTATCATTAGTACTCCGATCTGAATGATAAAAGTGACTGTTTAATACAGGAGACCATTTTATTCTGATTATTCTAGATTTTCACCCACTGAACCGCAGACATAATTTGTAGGTCTCATTTAGTCAGTGCTGGAAGTGTGTCAATGACCTACAAAAGATAATGAAACTGAACTACTTGTATGACAGCAAGATAAATCCATGTGCACCAACATGAGAGGATAAAAGATTATGGAGCAAACACTGGGAACAATACAGAGGTGTAATGAATCAGCTCATGTGAAATATGAATAATTAACCATAACTAGTTATAATTAACTATTCATATTTTAGATCCACTGTAGATATTTAGCTGACCTCTCAGGGTCAACTGTCATGTCAATTCTAAGCACGTGTATTTCCTGGTTAAGGGAAATAACTTTCTTACTGTACAATTCTACCAAGCTTGTAGCGTAAATCTGCATGATTAGTGACTCCGGTTATGAGCAAACAATGAACACGTCAAGTGTGATACAAGTAAGGTTTTATTAAACACTTAAACTAGTCCAACATACTACATAAACAAACTGGTCTAACATCCTACATAAACACAAACTGGTCTAACATACACACACACACACACAGTTGGTATAGGAAAGGGTTAACGCTTAACTCAGTACAAAAAAGAGACAAAAGGAATGAAATTTATGAAACCATTTGCATATTCAGCAGATCTAAGCCTCCATGCAACAAAGGGGCCTGTTTCGGCTTCCTGGGGTGTTACGCATTCCGGGGGGAAGGGTTCATGGGTCCTCGTATGGCTTGTTAACTGAGGGGGGGTACAGAGTATTTGTTAAATATAAAAACAAAATATATATTGTGTGTTTGATTAGTCCAGACGCTACAGAGGTCTTTTTTTTTTTGCAATTAAAATTATACATCCTTTATAATATATACAGGTAGACAACATGCACATTATTGTTCAAAGGTTTGGGGTTAGTAAGATTTAAAAATAACAATAATACCACTTTTATTCAGCAAGGATGCATCAAATTGATCAAAAGTGTCAGTAAATATATTTGTAAGATTTCCATTTTTTTTTTTTTAAAGTGCTGTTTTTTGAAGTTCATATTAATCAAACAATCCTGAAAAAAAAACATGTTTCCACATAAATATTTAACCGTTTTCAACATTGGTAATAAGAAATCACCAAATCAGCATATTTTAATAATTTCTGAAAGATCATGTCATACTTAAGACTGGAGTAATGAACAACATCACAAGAATAAATGACATTTTAAAACAGAAAACAGTTATTTTAACAGTAATATTTCCCAACGTTACTTTTTCTAGTGTATCTTTGGTGAGAGCGAGATTTATTTTATTTAAAATCTTGCGTATTCCAAATGACCGACCCCCCCACACACAATATTGTATTCATATGGAAACATATTACATGAGAAGAAAGTGAGTGAGATTATAGAGCTACTTTGTAAACTGCTTTTCATAGTAACTTTACAAGCTCCAGATGTCTCAAACACACACGCACCCATCTGATTTAGCTCCTATTAGTCTGGTGCGAAACAGGAAGCATGGTCGTGAGGTTAGGGACGTGAGCTCTAAATTTATTTCTGGTGGGAGACAGGAGAAGGGAAACATGGCTTTGGTTAAAGCTAGAGAGATGTGAAGGATGAATAAAGATGGGGATTATAAGAGGACTCCTGAGAATGAAAAGATATACTTGGAGAAAAAAATAAATAAATAAAAAATTAAAAAAAAAAAAGACAACAGGGGGTCTGGTTTGCTAAAAACAATAAAGTTAATTCCTTATATCATAATCATTAAATCTTCCTTAGGAAGAGCTAAACAGGATGTTGACATCTTCCTTTCACAAACAAACATTTCAGCCAAAAAAAACAACCAGCTCAGGGAATCAAATTAGGAGTCAAAAATAAGTCCAATAACTACCTTTAGGCGTGTCCCAGTATACAAAGGAGTCGACCAATGACCAGCCCTTGCGGTAGTAAGCTGCGGTCAATTCCAGCCAATCAGCTTCCAGGGCACTGACAACTTGACCCTTCCTGGACACGCGCATGGACAGCGCACCCTGGTGGTAACAGCAGGCCAGCGAATCCAGCGGGGCACATCCTGGAGCCCAGGAGTGAAACAGCACCAATAACCTCAGGTCTGAAAATGATAGCGAGTCCCACATGTTTTGTATGACCAATGCAACCTCAAAATCTTTGCCATATTTCAGGAAAATAAGTCATGCAAATGTTCATTGCTTTAGACACCATTATTAATAGGTCAAACTATCAGTCCATCTACCATAACTAGTAAGTGTAACGGCAGATAAATGAGGTACAGTACTCGTGTTAAGACACTAACAGTCTCTGACTGAATTTAATCTCACATGTGGCCCCGAAATGGTTGCCATGGAGAGGTTGGTATGATGCCCAGAGGGTGAGGAGACACTGTGGCTCACAGAGGACAAAGATATTACTGGGTTAAACCAAATCAAACTGACACCACTCAAGACAAACTGAAAAGGAAGAAAAAAAAAAAAAAGAGCAAAGAGTCTTCATTAGTCTGAATAAGGTTATTAAATTATACAGTCTAGTTATTATTTTACCAATGCATCTGTCAACATTGTTTATAAAAATAAAATAAAAAAAAAACACACTTCACATGACAAATACAATTTTCCTGTTTGATTCCGGAGTGAAATGAGTTTTTTTTTTTAATTTTAAAAAAAAAAAATTTTTTTAGAGTTTCACCCAATCGTGCATGATTCAAAGCATTTATAGTCCAGCTGTGTATCGGATTTAAAACCATTAAAGGGGTCATATGATGCGATTTCAATTTTTCCTTTCTCTTTGGAGTGTTACAAGCTCTTGGTGCATAAAGAAGATCTGTAAAGTTGCAAAGACTAAAGTCTCAAATCCAAAGAGATATTCTTTATAAAAGTTAAGAGTTAACCAAGCCTACCTAAAACGGCTAGTTCTAACACACCCCCACGTCTACATCACTATGTGGGAAGATTTGCATAACGCCACCCAAATGTTCACGCATCCACCGGACGCTCCTTCGTCGAATCCGCCGCCTCTGCTCTCTAGCCCTCAGGCCGTTCCTCACTTTATCCCCCGGCCTCTGCTCACTCTAGGCCGCCATGTCTGACGCCGTGTTTCGTTGTGAAAGCGATACTACTTTGTTTGGCCTTCCAAACAAAGTTGTTAAGTTGTATTTACAACACTGTTCCAGAACACTTCAACCCAAATATTCAGATGTGTGATGCACATTTTGCGGAGGTTGAGGACTGTTTCCTGTGAGAGTAGCCTACAATGCCGTTGTCTGTTTCTATAAAGTGGGGCAATTCCAACTTTGCAAGGACAGTCT